TACTTTCTGATGTACAGGCGTATTTTAAATGGGGACTTTAAGTTAGACAACCGGGTCGCTCAAAGTCACATTGCAACTTAATGATTCAGAACTAATGACTCCAACTGTCTAGCAAATAGACAACTGTCAGGGGTTTATCTCATGCCACTGTCACATGTATGTGATCCCTAAAAATGGGCTAAATGGTACATTCTACATTTTTAAATAAAGTCACTGCAAAGGTAAACACCTTCTTGAGATAATTACAGGAACATCCATGGCCGGACTCATGAACCACTGGCTAATTCTATGCTGGTGCTAAGCTAATTGGTTCAGTGGACTGCTAAGCAGCAAATGGTTAAGGGCATGGTTGCTTCCAGCAGAGCCTTCTCACGGAATCTCTTGGATTTTAAAGATGTTGGTAAATTTGAAGATTTAGGTAAATATTTTAACATTGGTTTCACTCTCAAAATGGCTTTCTCTGTTTTGTCTAAACAATGATGGGTGCAATTCACCATTGACATGTGCACTGCTCCAAGCGTCTGAGATCTCAGGGGGTTTGTAGTAATCCCAAGTCTAGATTTGCCTTACTCAAGAGAATCTGATACAAGTTACTCGACGTTCCTTTACTTCCTCTGTGCTCAGCGGCCGAGCTGTGTGTCCTACTACATATTCTGTTGTATGCGCAACCTCCACTGCCCTTCGTCTGAATGAGCCCACTAGCGTTATATTGTGTCTTGTATTCCACCTGGGAAGTGTGATGTCTGACAATCGTAACAATAGTGTTCTTTATTGTATCCTTTCTGTATATAACTCCCCACAAATAACATTAGCAGTTATTGTGATGTCTAAAGACAAAATGTATATATTACTTCTTCTACTGCACGGGCTTCTCTTGCTTTGTTCATCCACTGTAGCCTCTCTTTACGGCTGTACCTGCAAATAAACTGAGTTCACAATACCATGTTCTACTATGACGTGTCTTTTTTTTTTTTAGTTTTAAGTAAATTACATTTTTAAAACCGAAACAAAATCGAAAACAAAAAAAATGTCAGGCCGAAACCGAAACAGAAAAAAAAAACATTCTAACCTTTTCACATTTTTACAAATATTTTGTTTTTATTTATTTTTTATAAACTTTTTAATTTTTTTATATTTTATTTGTTGATTTATTTTTATTAAATATTTATATTTATAAAAGTTTATAAAGAATAAAAATTTAACATTTAAAAAAATAAAAATAAAAACGTGTGGCGGTTGCGGGGTACGGTCCCAGTGGATGTTTATATAATGGGGGAGGGGGAATGTCTGCTCCGGGCGCCCATAACTCTGGTTACGCCACTGATACTGATGGACATTATGTGGGCTCGGAATACATAATGTCCATCAATGTACTCTGTCCTAATGTCCCCTGTCAATGCAGAACCTGGAGGGGGTGGTGAGGGTGTCTGTATGGGGAAGGGGGGGCATTAGCAGGGGCACCACGGCAGGTTCTCTACTAAGCCCCTGCTAATGCCCCCCGAAGCTTCTGCATTGACAGGAGACATTACGACAGGGGACACTATTGGATATTATGTGGGCTTGGAATACATAATGACCATCGGTGTCCCCTGTCATAAAGTTCCCTGTCAGTGCAGAAGCTGGGGGAGGGGTGCATTAGTATAGGCTCTGCTGCAGGTAAAAAAATTGCAGCGGAGCCCCCTGCTAATGCCCCCACCCCATACCCTCCCCAGCTTCTGCACTGACAGAGGACAATATGACAGGGGACACTGATGGACATTATGTATTCTGAGCCCAGTCTGTGTAATAACATTAATTGTGTATTTTATTAACATACATTATGACAGGGGACAGTGATGGATATACATGATGAATATTATGTGGGCTTGGAATACATAATATCCATCAGTGTCCCCTGTCCTGCCACAGTGCACATCTCCCTATCTGCCTGCCTACCTTTCTCTGATTCCAGCCGACTGAACTATCTGGACTGGAGAGTACAGTAGATACAGCGGCGGATTGATATCTGCTGTACTCTCCAGTGCAGGCCGGAACTATAACTTAATTGTCGGGAGCCGCGGCTCCTGATATTATTGCGCCGGCCCGAAAGTGAGGAAATAGTCCCCTCTCTCCCCGGGCCATACCACTTTATCTGAGAGCCCGGGGGAGGCCGGGAGAGAGGGGACAGTTTGACATGAGGTTCCACAGGCTGAACCACAAATTCCCCCTCTCTATTCAGTCTCAGGGCGGTCTATTCAGACATGACGCCGCGACCCACTGCAGAGGGTGTCGCGACCCACTTTTGGGTCGCGACCCACGAGTTGAGAACCACTGGTCTAAACAGACCCCTAATATTTCCCTTTTAAAATAGAAAAGAGATTGAGGACACAATTTCTGCAGCACCTGTTATAAATGAACAGGAATCCTCTATACTGAGGGAACAGCTGACCGATCCTCAAATGTCAGTTCTATCCGACTCCGAGTGTGATCTCACATTCCACCGCACTCACAAAGTCGGATAGAAGTGACATTTTGAGTGACATTGGACATTTTATTTACCTTTGCTGCTGCCCTAGGCAAGGCAGCAACGCCGCACCCCCGACTGACCCGCCAATTCATGGACAGCACATACCCCCCTCCCGGGGCTTGCAGACTCACTGATGAATGGAGCTGTTCCAGGCAGATGGGGTAATACAGATCGATTCTCCTGTACATGCGCAGTGAGTCGATCTGACCAGGAACAGCTGACAAAGCGTTGGAATGCTTGACTTCCGCTGTAAAACTGGGCGGGATTACGTTAAAATGTGTGACCATGTCACTTGTCACTCATTCCTACGTAGTCACAAACTTTGATAGAACACTGGCCGGCCTCCTGTGACAGCATTGCAAGCTGTCTCAGCCCCCACACTGCCGCTCTCCTGATCTGTCACAGCAGGCTGAGCGGTGCGGGAGAAGAAATGCCGGCCGCTCACATCGCTCTCCTCCTCCCGCACCACTTAGCATCCTGTGACAGTTTCTCTCCTGTCTCCTGAGAAAAACCCGGCATGCAATTTCAGCCAAAAGATGGCACTCTTTCTTTTCTTTTACTAGCAAGAGGACACAGTTGTGAAATTGCACGAAAACCAGTCAGCTGCAGTCACTGTTCAAGTAATTCGACAGCAGCAAGAATACAATTGCCGGCAAGGGGGATTCCTTGATCCACACTGTTTATTGTGGATAGGGGAATCAAACAAGAAAAAAACGATATTAGGTGTATTGATAAACAATTTGCAAACCCAATCGCCCTGTGAAATTGCATGTGCATTCGCTGTGTGCGAATTGAGGCAAAAATGAATGTTATTAGCATGTTTTCTTTCCAGGATGAATGAAATATCAGGTAAATACAGCATTATGGCCACTAGATGGTGCCCATCCACCTTAGGGCTCCTTTCTAATGAAAACACACAGAAACACTAGTTGCAGTATTTATAGATGTGCGTTGCATTGTGTTATGTAATTGTGCTGCAATGCTTTGCAATGTACATTTCACCATACATTCTATAGCACAACTCCAGGAAACAAAAATATTTTTTTGCATTTGCTATTTACTAATAAATGACCTCCAATGATGGGTGTGCCATGTGTGGATGCTGCAGCGTTAGATAAATCTACTACTTTCATTCGTCCCCACAATTTAAAGTGACACTAAACTCAGGAGTTAAACCTTAGAAATGCATTCAAGTACCTTAACTATTAACAATAATGTATCTTATTTGTGCATCACTGGGTTGTAGATCCTCAAATCATCTCTGAATTGGTGCTGACACTGTCCTTCCTTCTGGAGGCTGGCTACTTTTGTACCCCATGGTCCCTGTGTGTGTGTTGTAAAGTAGCCACCCCTCCAAGCTCACTCCTGTGATGGACTACAATCTCATGTTTAGTTTATTCATTTGTATTGAGTTTGTAGTCCATCACAGGAGTGAGCTTGGAGGTCAATGATTTGGAGAGTGTCCCAATATTTTTGGTTATATAGTGTATATATATGTGTGTGTTTCTCAGCTCCCTCTAGTGGCCATAATGCGCTATTTTCCTGATTCACTCTTTATGATTGAACCTTTCCAGGTACATTTAAACTAACAACATTCATTTTTGCCCCATTCTCCCATCAGCTGGTTGACGCATAGAGAACGCATGTACATGCAGTTTTGCTGGACAAATAAGCTATGGAATTTATTTTATAAATAGAACCCAAAGAATAAATCAAAGAGGGTGTGAAGTATTTTATATATACATCTCAAAGCCATTGCCAAGCATCTGTTATCAGAAAGAATTCATAGTTAAAGTAGAACTAAAGCCATTTTGTTTTGGATGGAGTGGAGAGGGATTACAACCCCTGGCATGTTTGTATTGCTGTCTGTGTTTTCATTATGGAGAATCACCCTCTCTATTCATCCTGGTGACCGTTATCTCTGAGAGTCAAAGTGAAAGAAAAATACCAAATGTTGTCACCTGAACAGGAACAGAAAGGAAATATCCCAATGGGGACATTTGTTCTGGTGACAACCAGGGATTTCCCTCACTTTGGAGGGATTTGCTCTACTTCATCTTGAGGCTAGCGGACAGGAAGTAAAGGGAAATCTCCCCAAAGGGGATGCATGTGGCAAAAACAAAAACTGACAGGTTATAACTTTCCCTTATTATATCCATAATCCACGCAGCATGTATTTTATCGAGCGCCTGCTGTGCCCCACACTGTCCACTAGGCGTCAGGATTCGGCCTCCCCGTCCACAATACCAAAAACTGTACTTCGTCTATGATCAGAGGCAATGAGCTAATAAAGACGTTTGTGTACCTAGTTTGTGAAAAATAAAAATCGTATTTATCACTGTGCTGCAACGTGTTCCGTAATGTTAACACGGAAGGGCAATACGAAACGAATGCCAGAGTAAGCGGAGGACTAGTCTGCGCTTTAGGCGGAACGTTTGTTGCCGTCACGTGTTGCTGGCCGGAAGGCTGATGAGGTAGCACCTGGAAAAGTCCTGGTAGAGTGTTTCCGGCGGAGTGCGTAGGAGAAGATGGGTCGGAGCCGGAGCAGGTCACCAGAGAGACGGAGAGGTGAGAGAGATCTCTATCTGGGGATGGATTCTTCCTGGAAATAGTTGTTCGGAGATGTTTATGGTCCATTTCTCCCCCGCACTGGGCTCATCCGTTCAGTTCACTATACACAGGCGAGCTGATCTGTGGTCGGTGTGTAGATCTCCATCGGATTTCAGCCATTACTGCGAGACGCTGCTCCAATCACTTTCTAGCACTGAGTCTCTAGACAATTAGGGGAACTCATTTATCATTGGGCTGCTGCAACCTGGAGAACAGGAGGGGGAGGGGTAGACATGGCCCTGACCTGAGATATTTATTACGGGGTTAACTTATTTGAACCCACAGAGTATACTAAAGGGGTGTTCCACTTTTTGCAAAAACATGTATAGATAAGTTGTGTGTGTGTGTGTGTGTGCGTGCGTGCATGTATATATTTTATATATAATTTTATTTGTATTCAGAGCAAAGACGTTCCAGGTCTGCCTCCAGGGAACGTGAGAGGAGGAGACGAGAGCGCTCAAGGTCCAGAGAGAGACGAAGAAGTCGTTCACGATCTCCACACAGACGTCGCTCGAGGTAAACGAGTATCTTTAGAAAATATGACAAACACAGACTTAGACGTCTCGGCAGTCACTAATATAATGTGATGGATATATATAAAAGGCTCGTGTGGAATTCTTGATGCAGCATTTGCTGGCACAGCTTATGTTATGTTTTTTTCTAAAGTGTTCTTCAAACACGAATGCAGAAAGTGACACTAAACTCAGGAGTTAAATCTTAAAAATGCATCCAAGTACCCCAACTATTAACATAAATATATCTTATTTGTGTATCACTCAGCTGTAGATCCTCAAATCATCTCTGAATTGGTGCTGACACTGTCCTTCCTTCTGGAGGGTGGCTACTTCTGTTCCCCATGATCCCTATGTGTGTTGTAAAGTAGTCATCACTCCAAGCTCACTCACGTGACGGACTACAATCTCAATACAAATTAGTAAACTAAACCTGAGATTGTAGTCCATCACAGGAGTGAGCTTGGAGCGGTGACTCCCATGGAACCATGGGGAACAAGAGTAGCCACCCTCCAGAAGGAAGGACAGTGTCAGCACCAATTCAGAGATGATTTGAGGATCTATAGCCGAGTGATACACAAATAAGATACATTTTTGTTCATAGTTGGGATACGTGAATGTATGTTTAAGATTTAACTCCCGAGTTTGGTGTCACTTGAAGTGGGGGTGCCACTATTTTTTATTTTCCTTCCTATCTATTTGAGTTTTTGCCAAATGTTTGTTTGCCCTCATTGTTCTGTTGTCAGCGTACCAGCTAATCTTGAATTTGCACATAGCTTTGGCTTAGTCTGTTATCATTCGGCAGTCTCATGTTTTCAGTATACTAGGACCAGGAAGTGATGTATTAGAATCTGAGAAGCAAATATTGAACAATTAGGCAGCCCGTGTATGGACCAATTTTAGTCTTTCGATCACCTGTACTAATAACTGAACTGGCATGGTGGGTTTGGGAACAAAGATTTTAAAAACTGCACAACCAGCACACGATGCTCTTCTGAAGAAAATACATTTTTATTTCACATGCATCTGTACAAAGAACTTGACGCGTTTCTGCCTCATGTGGCCTTAGTCATAGCAGAGACGCATTTCTTCCTTACTCTGCCTAAAGGTGGCCATACACTTTACAACCATCGCAAGACCTTAGTCTTGCGATGGTTTTAAAGTAATAAAAAAAACGTATTATCTGCCCATCTTGGACAGGCAGATTGTACTTGCGATCATCGCAAGCCCGCCCCCCTGAGGGGCGGGCTTCCGATGACCTCAATGCTGAACGGGCAGTGTGCGCGTGCGCACACCGGCCCGTTCGGCATTTGTCTCCCGAGCATCATTCAAACCAGCCGAAAATCATGTGATTTTCAGCTGGTTTTCTAGCATGCTCCTTAGACAAATGACGTGCAACCGTACAGTAGAAACGTCTTCACTCACACTGCACGATTCTCGTACGATCGCGGGATTTCCCGCGATTCTCGTACGAGAATCTTGCAGTGTATGGCACCTTTAGGCTTCATTCACACCTAAGCAACGGCGTTTCAGTGCAGATTGCGCACTTTTTTTTTTTTATATGTGTATATATTTTGTGAGCAGATTGTGACATATTGATGTTATTGGAAAACGGTTTACAAGCATTTCCTATTGAGTCTATGGGGACAAATCTCGCCGATCTGCCCCAAAAAAACACCTTGTACTTTTTCCAGCGACAGGCGTTTTGTTTCACGTGCAACTCTACGCTTAAGTGTTTACGGGGTCTATAGAAATAAATGGGATTTCTTGTCTTGAGTGTTTCAATGCTGACAAATACACGCAACAAAAGGCCTAGGTGTGAACAGGGCCGTAGTCATTGCAGCTATAACTAAGGCTGTGTAAGGCAGAAACACGCCAGCGTTTGTTTGTTTTGCACACTTGGAAGAGCATCGTGTGCTGGTTTTGCAGTTTGAGACAATTGCTCCGGAAGAGGGTTATCCGTGCACTGAATGCGGATTATAAGGATGAATGTCGGAGTGAGCTGTGCTGTTTTGTGTTTTTTAGTCTTTGGGAAGAAGGTGTTAGAAATTATTGTATGGTTTAGGGATGCACCGATGCCAGTATTTTGGTACTGACTACCGATAATTTTTTTCCGGTACTCGCCGATACCAATTACCGAGTAACGGAAGTCCCATTCAGGTAGCCAGGTGGCATGTAATGACTCGCCACCTGGCTTCCTGATAAGCCGGGAAGCCGGGCAGCGTGTAAAGACTCGCCACCCGGCTTCCCGATTAACAAGAAAGTCTGTCCCCTCTCACCTCGGCATGTCCAGCCTGTCACCCCCGAGGCCTCTCCAGCCAGAACGTGGCCTTCCTCCGGTACCCAGCCGGAGCCGTCTTGCCAGCCAATCATGGAAGCCGGGCGCGGTGCCTATGCCAAGTATTTGGGCGAGTATGCACACTCGCCCAAATGCTCCAACACCTAGCCTGATACTTGAGCTTCCGGTATCAGGAAGCTGGGCAGCGAGTCATTACACGCTGCCTGCCTTCTTGATTGGCCGGGAAGCCGTCTCCATGCTACCTCGTCACTAGTGATGAGAGAGCATGGAGCCGCTTCCCGGCCAATCAGGAAACCGGGCCGCGTGTAATGAAGCGCTGCCCGGCTTCCTGATACAGGCAGTATCGGGCTAGACATCTGAGCATTTGGGTGAGTACGAGTACTCGCCCAAATACTCTATCGCTACTAGTATTGGTATCGGTGCATCCCTAGTTTGGTTTATGGGAAGCCCTTTTGTGGAAATATGTCTGCTATAAGAAACCCATATTCATTACAGTGATTTGTTTTTCAGGTCTCCCCGCAGACCCAGGTCCTCTTCTTCTCTCTCACCTGGTAGGCTGAAGGAGGAAGGTAAAGACTCCAAAGTGGTTAAGGAACGGCAGATAGCAGGTCAGTGTCTAAAATGAGTTTTCTAAGAGGATTTTTTTTAAAGAGGATAATTTAACGCTCGTCTCCAGGCAAATATTATCTGAGCAGTTCAGCAGGGTGAGGATAGGGTGAGCTTCCTCTCATTAATGTACAATGCAAGTTTTTAACCCTTAACAGGACAGATGGCGTTCAAATATAGTTTGCAACCAGTAATTAAATCTGCCAGCACAGTACAGACAGAGTTCATTAGAGTAAACATAACTTCTCACAGTCCCCTCCTTAGCATTATGTAGGCTAGGTAGGGTTTTTAAACGTAAAAAGCACTTTAAAAAAACCAAAACTAAGCAGCAATGAATAAGTAATGCGATGTGAATGGGAAGATCTAACAAATTCAAGGCAGATGTCCCAATTTGGCTGAAAAATTGGAAATGCTCACCGCAATCGGACAATAGAAGATTGGAAAAACGTTGCCTGGTCTGATGAGTCTCGATTTCAGCTGTGACGTTTTAGATGGTTGGGTCAGAATTTGGCGTAAATAACATGAAAGCATGGATCCATCCTGCCTTGTATCAACGGTTCAGACTGATGGTGTGGGGGATATTTTCTTGGCACACTTTGGGCCTGTGATGCTATCATGTCAATATGGACCAAAATCTCTGAGGAATGTTTCCAACACCTTGTTGAATCTACGCCACGAGGAATGAAGGCAGTTCTGAAGGCAAAATGGGGTCCAACCCGGTACTAGCAAGGTGTACCTAATATAGTGGCCGGTGAGTGTATGTAATTTGGGGACACAACACACGTGTGAATGAGCCAGAACAGTGACTTGTAATGTATGTGTGTTGACTCAATGTGGTGGCGTTCATTCTGATAAATAGCACCCTAACACACCTGCATTGTGGTGCTCTGCAGCATACCCCAATGCACTTTTGTGCGTTGCGCTCAAATTTTGCTTGGACAATGTTTGTTGTGTTAGGCAGCACATCAAACTTGGATGACATAAAACAATGTGCGTTAATGCACCACAGCGGACCTAGCTGGTGTGAATAGGCTGTAAATGTCTCATCAAACGTTTATTAAGAGACAGAGAGTCTGAAAGAGAAGGCTTTTGCGTGCTGCAAATAATCCATTGTGCTCTAGTAATCCTTTGTCATGTGTTAAATAGATTGTGTGCGCGTGTGTTTAACAAATACAAATGATATATACAGTATATTTTCAGATTTATTTTTATTTTACACAACCTATAGTAGTAAAATGTGTCATTTGCCACCTATTTTTAGTGACTCCTTTGCTGTTCGTTGTGATGACAAATATTCTTTAAAAGAGAACTATGTGGTAACCTTTTATCCCATAGTTTTTTCAAGGGTCAAGGGAGGACATATTCTAACATCCTCCCGTAAGCCAAAGCTCAGTATATAACGGGCTATTGCTCACTATATACCGAGATCGCTGCAGCTGAGACGGATCCCAACAATGCTGTCGAGATCCACCCAGCTGAGTGAGTGACAGCTGGCTCTGCCTATCTAGAGGCAAAGCCAGCTGTACCCGCCCCCAGCCCCCGTCCATTCCTCCACTCAGCGCTGGAGGATTGGAGCGGGTAATCCCTGCAGGGAGCCATGACTGACAGTCACCGCTCTCTGCAGGCAGATGATCAGAAAGTGAGCGAGCGACGGTATCTGTTCACTCCCCGACCTATTGAGCCGACGTGTGACAGTTTCATTGTCGCAGGTCAGCTCTAACTATGAGGAAATCACTTGCCTCATAGTTCTCCTTTTTAAATAGAATTTCTTCGGTTTAGAGCAGTGGTTCTCAACCTTTCCAGGGCCGGGACCCCTTGGTAACATTTGCAAAGTTGTGGTGACCCCCAACGGTAAATTTTAGGAATGACGCGGCTACCAATGTAAGACAAAATAAGGTTTACTCTGCTCGGGAGAAAGTGTTTCTCTCCCAGGCGGCCGGGAGCCGCTAACTAATAGCAGGAGACTCCCGGGCGACCCCTGGCATTCGACCCCCGAAGGGGTCCCGACCCACAGGTTGAGAACCGCTGGTTTAGAGTTTACAAGTAATACATTGACACTACAGATCTGGTATTTGCCTTATTTGTCAACTATGTCTTTTTTTTTGTTTTTGTTACCTGCAGCGGAGGATCTGGAGGGAAAAACAGAAGAAGAGATAGAAATGATAAAGCTCATGGGTTTTGGCTCTTTTGAAACTTCTAAGGTAATCCAGTGACTTTTTTTATCTTTTTTTCCACATGGCAATCATAATTCCTCAGATCTTCTCTGAATGGTGCAGCTTTTCTTTCCCATTGAGAATTGTCATCCTTTATTTTCAATTAGTTTTATTCCTTTGTTGTAACGTGGAGGTTTCTTACCTTTCTGCTGCACACATTTCTAGTATTGTGGTTCTGATGCAATACAACAATTGCACTTTGGTATGGATGGAGTCCTATCCTATAGTTGTAGATGTTGTGTTTAATAAAAAAAAAAAAAATCCTGGCATTCTTCTTTAACACTTGCAGTGGGGCTACCTCGGCACTGCAAGAGTTAAGAGAGCTATGGGGGGTCAGTGTTTTCCCCCATAGTTCTCCTAAGGGTCACGGGAGGACATAAACTAGCGTCCTCCCGTCACCCTAAGCTCAGTATATCGCGGGCTATTGCCCGCGATATACTGAGAGCGCCGTAGCCGGGAAGGATCTCAACATTACTGTCGCGATCCACCCAGCTGATTGCGTGACAGCTGGCTCTGCTTATCTAGAGGCAGATCCAGCTGTGTCCGCCCCCTCTGGAGGATCGGAGAGGGGTGTGGGGGAATCCCTGCGGGCAGCTGTGACTGACAGTCACTCATGTCTGCAGAGAGACGATTGAGAAGTGAGCAGATCGTGCATGTTTCTGCTCACTTCCCGATCGATAGAGCCGACGTGTGACAGTTTCTTTGTCACAGTTCAGCTCTAACTATGAGGATGAGTGGAAATCACTCACCTCATAGATATCCTTTAAGTGCTCGTTTGTGTCTAGGTTAAAAAAAAGTTAGACTCACCTGATGCTCCTAGCTGGATTGTTGTGAGACTGGTCCTCCCAGCGTCTTTCCCCCCTCCTCTGCAGCGGTCTAAGGTCCCGTAAATCATCACGTCTGTACACTGTGTATAGATGTGAGGGCGTTGAGGAAGATTCCAATGTGCGGAGGAGGAGACACGCTGGAGGGAGCATTGTGACAGATGACTGGCTTGGAGCTTCGGGCCAGTATATCTCTGTTCTTTTTGTCCCTAGAAACAAACGAGCACTTAAAGGGGTTCTAAACCCTCCCGTTTTTTTGCCTATATCTACTGCTATCAAGCAGTAGATATAGGCAAACATTTTTTTTTTTTTAAACTGCTAAAACAGCAGTTTAAACTTACCTTTTTTTTTTCTTTGCGTGCTCCCGTCGGGCGGCCGCAAAGCATCTTGGGGCGGGCGCAGTTCGGATTCTTGGCCGGGAGACGAGCAGAGACACAAGGTAAGTCTATGGACTGTGCACCCGCATGCCACATAGCGCAGACACTAAGAATTCCCCACGACAACCTTTTCTTTCAATAAAACGTCTTTTATGTCCCTATGTCTTTGAATTTTTGTTCCTGTGTATGATTACTCTGTCTTAACCATAGTTTATCTATGCCTCCTGAAGGTTAGTAACCCTTCAAATCCTTCAAATTTCCACCAGTAGAGGTTTTCAGTATGCAACGGTTACCTTCAGTGAAAATATCAAGTTTCATGTTCAGTTAGCTGATTTTTTTTTTTCCCTTTTGGTCCTACACTGCACTACAAGAAAAGTACAATGTAATACAAGAAATATTGCTTCTATTTAGGGATGCACCGATACCAAGTACCGTACTCAGTACAAGTACAGATACTTTTCCAGCTCCAAGACTAGAGAAAAATTGAAAAGTTAGGAGGCAGCTGTCATTTGTAAGAAGCATACGGAGCTCCTGGGATTTGTACATCTGTTTTCTGTCTCAATATGTTTATTGAAATTTTATAAATAACATACATGGTAAACAAAATGATTCTCAGTGCTTCATTACCGTAAATCATTATAATAACAATGAAATCACATAGAATGTAGCTACTTATTTTATTTGTATTTGTTTTCTGCTAGTACCGATACCGACATTCTCCACAACACCATCCTACTTTCACAATTTTAAGGCCGGTTCACACCACAAAGAGCATGCATTCCAGTCCAGTGCGATCTGCAAAAATGTTGCAACTATTTTTGCAGATCGACCTACAAACACTCAGCGATCACTGATGACTGAGTGTTTGTGCTCGCTCTCCTCTCTGACAGCGCTGGCCCACACACTGCTCTGCTGGACTGTGATAGACGGCTGAACGGTGTGGGAGGAGAGACGCCGGCCTCTCACAGCGCTCTCGTCCTGCAGCGCTCGGCCGGCTGTCACTTTCTTTTCTCCCCGCTGGAACACAGAGCAGCGCCCAGCGTGGAGAAAAGAAACCAGGGATGCGCCGATGTATCGGCCGAAACATGGCTCTTTCGGCATTATGCCAAAAATGCTATTTTCGCCCGATATATCGGTGCATCCCTAGTCTTAATCATGTATCATGAAAAACAGTTGTTGTAGCAGCTGTGTAGGTAAGTAAGACTGCATTCCCTATAAGTGAACCAGTTAACCATTAACAGAGAATGGGGTTAAGGCACCTAAGAGTATAGCATGAAAAGAGGGGGTAGAAGGATCTTAAGAAGAATAGTAGTGCCAGGTATACCCATACTACTAGGGGGGGCGGGGGGCAGGGTCCCATAGTTTGCTAACACCAATCATCTCAATGAGTAACTGAGGCCGCATGTCCTCGGCCCATGGTCCACAACCAATTGGTCTCCCGTCCTGCATTCAAATTCCCCGATAACTCATGGGGTCCATCCCAGGATGACGAGATAAGAGCCATGGTTCCCAAATACTGAGAAACCTACAATGTTTATCCTCCAAGATGCTAGACAGACGTTCTTTAAGCATGATGTTGTCTAATCTGTGGACAAATTCCATATAGGGAAGCTGTTGCTTCTTCCAGTTGCCTGCCAGCGTCAACTTGGCCACTAGAAAAATAAAGTGTGCCAAAGCCTGTTGAGGGTTAGTTAAGCCGGGTGTGGACAAATGGAAGAGGGCGTATTGAAGGTTTATGGGGATATATGTAACAAAAAGAGAGCCAATTAGTTTGAATATCCTGACCCAAAACCGAGTGGCCATGCACATCTGTTTTAATGTATGATTTTGTTTTTATATATAAAGGGATGCACCGATACCATTTTTGCAAGTATAAGTACTGATACTTGCCCAAGTACTTACAAGTACTGATACATTTCTGTTTATTGTCATGTGACTGTTTTTCTAAAACAATACGGATTAATTTCAGGACAGTGGTGGAGCGCCAGAGCCAGGTCCCAGCTGCAACTGCTGCAACCCTGATAGTTCTCATGAAAATGCCAAGTATCGGCACTGGTATCGGTGCATCCCTACGTCTATTATTTATTTACTAGAATGGCATATATATATATATTTTTATAAACCTATTTAACCTTTTTATTAAAGGGCTAGTTCCTTTTCAGAGGAAAAGGTGAACGAACTCATAACACTCTCTGCACTTAGCTGCTGAGATGTGCTCCCGTTGCCCATGTCAGCTGATTTTAACAGGCCACAGCATTCTAAATTTCACTACATAGCCCCAGAGGCTGTGTAGCATCATAATGCTAGTAATAGCGAGCGGTCATTGGTCAATGCAGCCACGTGACCATGCTGAACATTGAGAATATCTTCTGAGCCTTCTTTCTTCCGGGATGGTGTCCTGGAAGCAATAAAAGATTATCATAGCTTAGTGCCGTCACATGGCCACGCTGAATAATAACTAAGTGCCATTGCTAGCAGTAGGATGCTACACAGCCTCTGGGGCTATGCAGTGAAGTGAGGTGTGCTGCTCATTATGCTGACAGGGGCGGCAGGAGTATGCCATCTCAGCAGCAGGGACTGGAGGGGGGGTTGGGAATAAGGCTTATGTTAAGTTTTACTTTGCAGTCACATGTCTGTTCATGATATCGCATGCAACTCTGCGTTTATAGTTGGACAGCAAGGTTCCTGCTGGGAGCTGCTGACAACCAACAAGGCAGGGCTTGGTGGGGGCTGTGGCTGCAAAACAGACTACATCGGCATGGCATGCTGCAACTCCAAGCAGGAAAACATCAATATGTACTGTATGTGCTTCTTTTCTTGGTGTGGTCTGAACAACTTGGGACAAAGGGGGGCTGGCAGGATCACTGGGTGTTTCTCATGGCAGCTAGAAAACTGCAAAAAGTCGCAATGAATTCCATCTGTACGAGATTCATTAAAGGGTGGCAGGATGTGCTGGAACTTTTAGAGATGCATTAGCCAGAGGGCCGGTTCCTGATCTGCAGAGAAAATTAAATGCCGCTTTTTGCTTTATATTGTTCATTACATGCTACTTGTGCTTATCATGTCTCTTTCCTGTGCAGATAAGTCCATGTTCTAATAAGCCCTCAGGGGCAGGGCCCTCCTTACCATCTTGTCTTGAATTGTAATGTCTTCCTTATATTGTAAAGCGCTGCGTAAACTGTTGGCGCTGTATAAATCCTGTATAATAATAATAATAATAATAGCTCTCATTACTCTGCTCTCTTACAGGGGAGGAAAACTGATGGGTCAGTTAATGCATATGCCATAAATGTGTCACAGAAACGAAAATACAGGTAAAGAACCAAATGTAGTGTAACCTTCCGAACTGCTCCATGCTAATGTTAGTCAGATTATATGGTGAAAGGTCTGTGCTGCTATACAGTAAGAGGTTGGGGGGGGGGGGCTTGCTTTTAACTGCTGGAGGCAATAGATTGTTAGCACTGCTGTTAAAGGGGCCAATGTGATTGGAAACCATGTACTCTGTAAATGACAACCTAATCTATTATGATGAGCCAAATCATCTAACTAATTGGACAGCTGAATGGAGTCATTTTCATTCTGTTGACTTGTATAGAGAATCAGGTTGTTATCTCATCTTCTTTCTCATGGTCCCATGGAGCTCTGTTCTCTTCACCTCTATCCATCCATCCTTCTTTATCTATCCATGCTATCATTCATCCCTTCATCTTATTTCTATCTATCCATGGTCCTAAAGTGCTAATTTCTCTGCCCTTCTGTCTGTTTTCTCTCCCTCTCTGTATGTAACATGTGTGGCGTAATTTACGTTTATTTGCGTGCTGGGGACTTAAAACTTTTTTTGGTGTGGGTGGGTTTTGTTAGGTTTTTTTTTTTTTTATGGTTAATTTTTTTTAACATTTTATTTTAAACTTTTTAGGTTTTTTAGACTTGGTTGCTATAACATAGGGGGCTATAAAGCCCCCAATGTGATAGCTAGAAAACAATGACAGGTCCTCTTTATGGAGACATAAGGGGTCCCCAAGATGCCTGTCACCTAGGGACCCCCAAAGAAGCTGATGAAGCAGAGATCTGTTGTAATTAAACGGCCGGACAGCGGCTTCTTGAGGGCGGGTGGGCTTCTTTAGACGTCCTATCCCGTTCCGCTCGTGCCCGCCACTAGGCGGCGCGCACGAGTGGGAAAACCGGCTTTGAATGTAAACAGCCAGCGATGGCTGTTTACATACAAGCGTTCGGGCGTCTGTAGATACGCCCGATCGCTTGTAATATCCGGTCGGGTGTGCGGCCCCCCTCCGCCGCTGCTGGCGATCCCGGGGTCCATTGTTCCCGCTGTGAGCCCGGGACCAGCACAGCAGCTCTGGGGCCGGAGATCAAACGGAGCTCAGTACACAAGCTCCGTTTGAACTCCTCTTCTGAATGCAGGCAGTCATGTGTATTACATCACTGCCTGCATTTCAGTGTCACTCTCCGGTACAGAAACCAGAGAGAAGCTGGTGAAGCAGGTCTCTGCTTCATCAGCTTCTCTGGGGGTCCCTAGGTGACGTTAGGGGTCTTAAGACCCCTGATGTCTCCATAAAGAGGACCTGTCACTGCAAATTGGCTATCACATAGGGAGCTTGCTTGCTCCCTATGTGATAACAATAAAGTTCAGTGAAAAAAAATTTGTTACAAAAAAAATTAAGTCGCATATCAAAGCAATCAAAAAAATTTAAAGTCCCCCACCACCACACGCAAACATGCGTCAAGCCCACTTGCGTGCAAAAACGCAGATTACATCCATTGCACCGCACGTGTTACATATCGCTGCAAACGTTGGAATGAGAGCAATAATTCTAGGGCCATCAATCACTGATAACACTAAACTAATGAGCGGTAAAAGCTTTTAAAGTGTCGCCTAAGGTCAATTTTGAGTGTGGTGTTATTTTGCGATTTAACGGGTGCACGCAATTTTAAAGCTTGACATGTTTGGTGTCTATTTACGCGACATGACCCCGTCTTTAATATTTTACCAAAAAATTGTGTAATAATAAATGTTTTATAACCTAATGTAGGGAGAACAGGTTTTTTTTCAAAATTATCGGTACTTTTTTTATTATACAGTAAAAAAAAAACAAACCCTGTAGTGGTGAATAAATACCACCAAAAGAAAGCTCTATCTGTCCCCAAAAAAAGGTATAAAATTCATTTCAGTACAGCGCTGCATGACGGAATAAATGTCAGTCAAAGTAACGCGGCGCTGAACACTGAAAAATGGCCTGGCCAGGAAGGGGGTCTAAACACCCCGGTCAGCAAGTGGTTAATGAAGCACACGGCAGCATTTGTCTGTAGGAGGTGTACATTTATTAGACGGAGGCTGTGTTCAGTATAACATAATGGTTTCTAGGCAACCATAGCAGGCACGTATGAGGAAAAGCACACATATGAAGGAACAGTGGAAAATCCAACATCCTGTCATTTTACATTTACTGTTTTACTCCAAATCTAAACCCCTATTTGAGCTCCAGTAGCTCTTCTATTAGATCAGACTACACGGGCCAGCCATTGCTCCCTATGTGCATCAATGAGCCCTGGCCACCCGTGCCCCTGTTACCACTTCAACGGGTTTCCTTACTTGGACCACTTTTGGTGCCTGACCACTGCAGACTGGGAACATCCCACAAGAGCTGCAGTTTTGGAGCTGATCTGACCTGGTCGTCTAGTCATTACAATTTGGCCCTCGTCAAACTCGCTCAATCCTTACGCTTGCCCATTTTTTTTTCTGCTTCCAACATCTCAATGAAAATGTTCACTTGCTGCCTAATATATCCCATCCACTTCCAGGTGCCATTGTAATGAGATCCATGTTATTCACTTCACCTGTCAGTGGTCATATTATTATGGCTGATCGGTGTATGTTATTGCCGAATGTTCATCGCGTTATACTCGTTTCTTAAGGTAATTCCAATTTTATTCAATTAAAGGAGAACTATGGGTAAGTGTTTTTCCCCATAGTTCTCCTTAGGGTCACAGGAGGACACAAACTAACGTCCTCCCGTTACCCAAAGCTCAGTATACCAGACCACTGCAGCCGAGACGGATCCCGACATTACTGTTGAGATCCACCCAGCTGCGTGATTGACAGCTGGCTCTGCCTATCTAGAGGCAGAGCCAGCTGTACCCTCCCCGGTCCGTTCCGCCAGTCAGCGCTGGAGGATCGGAGGGGGGGGAATCCCTGCAGGGAGCCGTGACTGACAGTCACGGCTCTCTGCAGGGACATGATCGAGAAGTGAGGGAGCGACTGTATGTGTTCGCTCACTTCCCGATCTATTGACGCGACGCGTGACAGTGTCATTGTCACAGGTCGGCTCGAACTATGAGGTTGAGTGAAAATCACTCACCTCATAGTTCTCCTCCTTTAATGTCATGTGGGCAGAACTGTAAATGACAAAGAAACTTTCAGAGGGCTGGGTTAATTCTATCCGGACTGAATTCTTTACATACTGTATATGTCATTAAGTCATAAAATGTATATATGTCAAAAGGTGTGCCCAGATCATGCACACTAAAGTATTTACATATTCTGAACAAGCAGTAAAAGCATTTTAAAACAAGCCCTCATTCATCTCTGGATCTATAGCCATTGAGGGAAATTAATTTGAAGAGCAGATCTTGCCAGCTCTCCAATGTAAACACATACAGGGCTATTCACAGAAGGGTGAAGGGTTTGGAGAAGGCAGGAGAAGTGAACAATCTAGGACAACATAGCTAAACTGGAACAGTTCTCCAATTCAGCTCACTTTCCAGTTCAGCTAGGTTGTCCTAGATTGTTCCCTTCTCCTGCCTTCCCCAAACTCTTCACCCTTTTGTGAGTAACCCTGTTAGGTGTGCATAAAGCTGGCCATACACTGCTCGAATCTTACTGAATCAGCCTAAATTTCCCCTGTGGGTGGCTCTACAACCCAATGTTTGTCAAAGGAGCTACGTAGAAAATTGTCAGTCCTTCAGCTGAAGTCATTGTTTGTGTATTCTGACAGTGGGGGCCACCGATTGGTGGAAGATTCTTCCATCACCACTGTTTAGCGTGAATGGAGGTATCTTCACCTGCAGGCTGAATGAAGGAAAACTGCATGCATGGCCCTCTTAAACTGTTAGAAACCCACTGGAACCTGACCCTGGGGTATTTGTTGTAATATTTCAGAATGAATAACTTCACATTAAAAGCAGCTAGAAAGGTCAGGACTTGTTTTTAAGCTCGTGTATTGCTTGTTAAGGTTATGTACATAGTTTAACAAGTGGTGGACACCGAGGGACAGCCGGAGCGAAGGGGGAGAAGAGGTGGCCACCAACTGCTGGGTGATTGGGTAAGTAAAATGGCCTTTTTGAGCAATTGACCCTTACAGCGAGGGAACAGCTCCACTGCAAGGGAAAACTTTTTTTTAATTTTCAAGGTCTTTTACTTGTATAGATAATCACAATAAAAAGCCTCCATAGTAAATAGAATTGTATAGATTTTCTGCTATGAGAATGGAATGGTCAGCACAGATCTGACACGCCTAGCAAGTAACTGAACCTAATGTTCTTCCTCTGTTTGATTTCAGGCAATACATGAACCGAAAAGGAGGATTCAACAGACCACTAGACTTCATTGCCTAAGCCCTGAGAGCAGCAAGTTGGAGGATGTGCTGTATGTGTCCTCAGGACTCTTTCCAATGCACGTAGAAGTAAACCTGTTTGCCATTGCTGACTCCTTTTGAAAAATATCTGTAAAAAAAGAAGTCAAGGCAACTGGACTTGCTGTGTATTTTTCTTGAAGACGTTTCACTAGTCATCCAACCAGCTTTCTCAATTCACATTAACTTGTAGAAAAATTCTCTGGGAGTTCCAAGAGAATTTTTGCTCAAGTCATTCTGAATTGAGAAAGCTGGTTGGATGACTAGTGAAACGTCTTCAAGAAAAATACAGCAAGTCCAGTTGCCTTGACTTCTTTTTTTACAGATATAACATGACCTGGATGAATGAGAACCTTCACAGACATATCCTTTTGAAAAAGTAATTTGTCTGGATTTTTAAGTAATTTCTGATTCTAACCTGGAACAAACATGCATCGAACAGGCATCAGTACTTCTAATCTGCATATTGTTCCAGGTCAGGTGACACATACTGAAGGCATTAGATTAAATGGTAGCCAGGGAACTTGTTTTTTCAACGGGGGAGGTCTGCAGTGGCAGCTTACATATTTCCCCAGTACATGATGCATTTAATACAACATATTATGTATACGATTACTAGTTGTTCTTTATTCATGTGCTCATTTCTCCATGTGAAATCGTTCTTTTACTCACCATGGCTTTCCACAGTATAGAAGCCTAGCATTGTTTTAAGTTAGAACTCAAATCAAAGCTTTACATTTAGGTTGGGTGGAATGGTGAAGGGTTTAAACCCTCGCCAGTTGCCATTCTTGACCTTGTCAAAGAAATCTGCCCCCACTCCTGTCCTAGTAATGTCAGGTACTGCTTCCCTGAGACTGGTCTCCTGTATTTCTAGTAGTAAAGTATGTCACCAGCTCACCATGGTTGAGTCTTCTAGAAGTGAACATTTTATTGATGCACACACCTTGTCACATGGCTATGTGACGAGATGTGTGTGCATCAATAAAATGATCACTGCTTGAAGCTTGAACCACGCTGTGCTGGTGACATACTTTACTACTTGAATCTGAAGCTGCACCACAGTACCCACCGCAAGGGACATACCAGTAAGGAGTGCGGTAGAACTCTCCAGCATAGTTTCCTTTAATATCGCACACTATGGTGGATGCTCTATAGGAATGAATTATCCTTTACTGTAGAGAACCTGGGAGCTCAGGTCTTGGCAGAGAAGCAGCTGTCACTGTTGGGCCAGGAGTGGGTGTTAGAGGATCTCCATCCATGGACACAAAGAACCGCAATGGATTGAATCCTCTCTAGCTCATTCAGAATTAGAAAAATAGAGCCGAGTTTGGTATCTGGTCCTTTTTTGCTGCTAATGAGCGCGTGGCATTGCGCCATACCATGCATGCTTAGATTTGGAGTTCTTAGTCAGCTGGGGAACCTAAAGGTTGGCATTCCCTATTTTATGTTAAATAATTTATAGTACTTTGTATTCTCCTTTTTTTTTGTTTTTTTCCCCCTCTTGTATATTGTACAATAAAATATCTACTATGTGAATGAGTGTTTGTTTGTTTTTGTCATTTTAAAAAAAATCCCTCGAATTAGGTCTTAACATGTTAAAGATCTATTCCAGGCAACACATTAATCAAGTCAGTAAGCAGCTAATGCCATCAAGAAAACGTGGTTTTGCTAAAATCGGAGCTTAACCTGAGTCTTTGCTGTGTACCCACCAATGCATACTGCTCTATCAGGGTCAGTGTACATCCTGAAGTCTGTGTGGTGTACTTTCCTCTCTGTCACATCACCAGTCACATTCAATAATATGAAATCACCTGCACTCCATACAGACCTTGAGTAAGAGGTTGGTGCTTGCTTGAGTAAGAGGTTGGCGACATAGTGACCACTATCACTATGTCGCCCAGAAGAAGGGACCCTGCGTGGCCCCGAAATGTTGGCTGTTTGATGCATGTGACGATTGAATAAAAAGTGCTTTACTTCTTGCACATATCATCGAGTGCTATTATGGACCAGTCGCATTCACGCATGTAAGATGAGTTTGAATTGATGGTTTTGAGAAACATGTTAGTACTGGCATTTTCTTACATCAGGCATTCTGTACGTGAGCGGCCTGCAGTGTTTCTTCCAGCATCACAAGCAAGCATCCAGAATCACCATATTAAGAGAAAAGGGGAATAGGGTACATTGGAGCAGTAGAACTATTCATTGATGCAAAACATGTGCAGAGAAATAAACTGCTCTGTGTATGCATCCCAATGTTTAATTTTGACTGGCAGTGTACTTGTAAAAGATTACAAACTACACTATATACGGATGCATTTTAAATGATTGAAAAGGTTCCTTTTTAAACCGCTTTCGATTTTCCTAAAACTTCTTAAGGGACAAAGACCACTTGTGGTAAAAACAAACATTAATGTAACACATATAGTTACTAAATAAATGAGCCCCATATCTGAAGCTGAACTCCAGGCACGACATTTGTATCATCTTCTGATTTGTTTGTATTCACTTACCTCAAGTATGCAGTGTGGCCTTTTTCCTCCCTACAGTAAGCATATAAATCACTTGATGGGTCCTTGTAGATCTCCTTGCCCCTTTATCACTCCCCACTGCAGCATTGGGGTTTGGTCTTCACTCCCTGTGTGCTCTTTTTCCTATTCAAAAAGCCCAAACTAATGACTGTGTGACCCTCCAAAGTTGCCTTTGATTTCAGACACTGATAGATGTGAAAAAAGAAACTGAAGTTTTGGCATTCAACATTTTGTCTACCTATTACTGAATCTCGTGTCTAGTCCTTATTTAGCTATTTATACCCAGGCAGTTTGATGCCAAAGGTTACTTGTCCCTAGATGACACCCATTATCCCTGCTCTGCATAGAGCTCCGTATTGCTAAACTAACAATAATGAGTAAAGTTGGTTGTTCATGGTTGGTGATAAAGTGCAATACGTAAAGTTGTTTTCTTTTTTGTATTAAGGTCGCTTGCAACCCTGACCGTAAAATGAGGTTACAGCAGCTGAATAACCACAACATGGAAAAGAAATAGATCAGTGGTGGAAAATTCTAAAGAGGATGTCATTTAACCTCCCTGGCGGTATTCCCGAGTGTGGCTCGGGGTTAATTTTCAGTACCAAGAGCGTTAACCCCGAGCCACACTTGGGATTGCGCAAAAGTGTCACTTACCTTGTCCCTGCGAGCCCGCGGTGTCCTCTTCTGTGTGCGCCTGGCCGATGCCGGCATTCGGCTTTCAGTTTCGTTTTCAGCCGTCACAGCGGGGGGCTGAGCGGGCGGGAAATTCAAAAGTGCAAACATGACATTTACACTGTCTGACCAATCAAAATTTACTTTGAGTACACCAAGTGTCTAATTTATAATGGAAAGTGCATATTGCTATCTACTCTCCATTATACTTGGCTATGCCCACTGCGGTCTATGCCTTTCATAAAACTCATGGTGTGTAGCTGGAGAAGCTCCATGGAGTTCCTTCTGCTAAAGGAGCATAGAGAGCTCTGATTAGAAGAAAGCTGGGCAATTCCATGGCAGCTGTGTACATCAACAGAGAGGAACCAGAAGTCTTGCTGCAGCAAAATAAAAAGATAGTTTGTATCCTGTACTGGGATTTCACATTCCAACCTTGTCCACTATGTACATTCCAGATGTTGGCAGGCAGACTTCTCAGCTGACCGCACCTGGACCCAAGGGAGTGGTCTTTACTCCTGGAGGTGTTCTATCACCTGTGTTGCAGGTGGGGAACACCAGATGTGGACCTCCAGGTTCAACAACAATTTCCAATAAACGTAATTGTGTTGAGTCTTTCATGGATCGCATAATCATTCTTCTGATTAAACAAATCCTCCTTTTCATATTACATGATGGGTGCTGCTCACTCAGCAAAGTGAGAAATCCAATATTGAGCAGAAATAAATGCGCCAAATGGTGAAGTACGTAAAAAAAAAATTTAATTTTATTGCAACAATAAAACACACGAGAGAGCCAGAATGAAAGGGCCTTGCAGCAAACAATCGATTCCACCTAAGCAAACCGGAACCAGAAATCAACCTGCTAGGGACCTGTGGTGTAACCTCAGTACGTGTCCTATCCTTTCCGACGCGTTTTGTCCCTTGACTTTTTCCAGGAAAGGTTCACACAGATCCTAGCTGTTCTGGGACCTGTGTTGCAGGTGGGGAACACCAGATGTAGACCTCCAGGTTCAACAACAATTTCCAATAAACGTAATTGTGTTGAGTCTTTCATGGATCGGATAATCACTCTTCTGATTAAACAAATACTCCTATTCGTATTACATGGTGGGTGCCGCTCGCTCAGCGAGGAAAGAAATCCAACATAGAGGAGAAATAAATGCGCCAAATGGTGAAGTACGTCCAAAAAAATATAATTTCTTAAGAATCTGTGATTATTACAAAACTAGGAAGGCAACTTCATGCAAGGTCTATCATTGGGCATGGAGGACATACTTCATTTGGCGAGTCTCGAGGATTTTACCCTGTGATTGCATTTCACTGGATGAATTGTCTCCTTCTGGTAGCTGGGTCTGGACCAATGTTTGGCTTTCAGCACTATTAAAGGTCAGATTTCTGTACTTGTTTCTGTCTTGTTTCAGAGACAGTTTTCCCTTCACTCCTTGATGAAGACTTTAGTACATTGAGTCACCCATGCAGTTCCCCCTGTGACTCCGTAGGATCTGAATCTGGTTCTCTACACTTCAGAAAACGCCTTATGAATCCATAAAACAGATTCCTTTCTCTATTCTCACTCACAAGTTAGTATTTCTTGCAGCCATCACCTCTGTAAGGTGAGTGTCTGGACTTGCAGTCTCATCTTGCAAGAAACCTTTTCTGGTTTTGTATAGGGACATGGTGGTGTTGAGGCCTGGGACTTTCTTGCCTAAGGTAGTTTCTGGCTGTCACCTTAAGTAGGATATCTTACTTCTATCCAGTTCACAAAACAACATTTCCTTCTGAATGTAGCTCAGGCTCTGAGAGTATATCTCTCAGCCACTGAGATAGGGCTTGTCCCTGTTAGGGCACCCAGGAGGTTCAAAAACCCCTAGTCCTGTATGTGTTGGCTT